GGGAATGTGTCTGACTTGTCAGCAAGTTAAGACAGAGCACCATCATTCGTCTAGATTGTTACAGTCATGTGGATTCCTGAATGGAAATTTGAGCGCATTACGATAGATTTCGTTACTGTTCTTCCTCTGACTCCTTCCAAAAAGGATTTTGTTTGGGTGATTGTTGATCGACTCACCAAGTCAGCTCACTTTATCCCTGTTTGGGTTAATTATTCTTTAGACATGTTGTCTATATTGTACATTTATGAAATCGTTAGACTTCATGGTGTTCTATTATCCATCATCTCTGGTCGAGATTCGAGGTTTACTTCTAGGTTCTGAAAGGCTTTGCACGAGGCTCTGGGTACTCGTTTTAATTTTAATACGACTTTCCACCCGCATGCTGATGGTCAATTAGAGCAAGTGATTCAGGTGCTAGAGGATATGTTGCGGGGTTTGTGATTGACTTCTATGGTAGTTGGGAAGATTTCTTGCCTTTAGCAGAGTTCGCTTACAATAACAGTTACCAGGCAAGTATTCGCATGGCACCGTATGAGGCTCTATATGGATGTCATTGTCGTACTCCTATCTGTAGGACAGAGTTGCATGATAGAAAGACTTTGGGTCCAGAGTTAGTTCAAGAGACTGAGGATACTGTCCGATTGATCCGTGATCGCCTGAGAGAGGGATTTGATAGGCAAAAATCATACGCAAATCAGCGACGGAAGTATATCGAGTTTGAGGTTGGGGATCAAGTTTTTCTCAAGGTATCTCCATGGAAGAAAGTGTTTAGATTTGGACGTATCCAAGGTTTATTGGGTCGTATCGTTTTCTGAATAAAGTTAGACCTGTTGCTTATCAGATTGAGTTGCCTCCCCAGCTCAGTCGCATTCATGATGGTTTCCATGTATCCATGTTGAGGCGGTATCATCCAGAACTAGGTCACATCATTCATGTTGAGGAGGTACAGTTGAGACCTGATTTTTCATATGAGGAGGAGCCCGTACATATTTTAGATCGGGATGAGAGAGTCTTTTATGAATAGGCGTATTTCGATGATCAAAGTTCAATAGAGTAATCGTGGATCCTCAGAAGCTATTTGGGAGACATTGGAGTCAATGGAGGCTTAATTTTTGCATCTGTTTACATCACGTAAATTTCAAGGATAAAATTTCTTTTAGGGGGAGAGTTGTCACACCCCAAAATAGGGCCTAAAATTTTCTTAAAAATGTTTTGAGAAATATATTGAATTTTGATTAAATTCAGGGACCAAAGTGAAATTTAATTAAATTTGGATCCAAATTTAGAAACAACTAAAGTTGAAGGACCTATAATGTGATTTTACCATTTTCTTTCTGGGGTTTATATAACCCCTAATTCTGGGAAAAAAACAAATTTATTTTATTTTCTCTCATCAATATTTTCCTCTTTTAGAAGGAAAACATTGATCATCGATTCTTTCCCGACCGTTGCTCTATTTTCGACACCTCCCGCACCATCGTGTTCCTTGCATCGTCCCGAGTCCATCGATGTCCTTCTTGTGTCCGTTGTCACCGGCATGTGAGGGGGTGAGGAAGATAAAGTTTCCGACATTTCAAAATCGAGCTCTCTATCGTTCACCATTTTGAACCGAGCTTGGTAAGTGTCTCAAAACCCCTTAAAAGCAATTAAGAATTTTTTTGGAATTTTTTCGACCCTGTAAAGCCCCGCACGCGCCCCCACATACCGCCTCTGTGCTTGGGGAAAGTCCACCGTCTGGTGAACTACTTGGAAATAGGTCGATCTGACCCGACCCAATTCGTCCCAATCTAGCCTTTGACTGTTGACCGACCATTTACCATTGACTGTTGACCATTGACCGTTGATCATTGACTGTTAACTGACCGTTGATCGTTGACTTTGACCAAAAAAGTCAAAATTTTTGAAAAGTCATATTTTATGTTTTTCGACGTCCTGAGCCTGATTTTGAAGTTCGTTTTTCCAAATTCTAATCTGAAAGCCCCGAATCGAGCTCATTAATCCGAAAATGCTTAGTATTTTTAGCATTTTTAATTATTTATTTGAGATTTGGTTATGAAATTGATCCAATAAGATATTTTTATGAAGGTACTCGTGTTTCACCTGACCGAGGGTCAGTTAGATCCGGTTTTTCCCGTCCGTCAGACCCGCTCGATCCAATAAGATAAAGGTTAATATTATTCATATTAGGATTCCGATATAGATTTTCTGATTCGTAGGATCTAGTACTTCCGCTGATCGTGATCGACAGACTCAGTAGTAGGCTTTCTTATCAGACTACTCAGACTGGTACAAGTGTGTTTCCTGCTGGTATTATATTACTTTTTTCAACTATTTATCTGAATTGTTTTAAATTTCTGATAATACTACTAAATATTTTTAAGACACAATACCTGATTTTCTAAACACGGTTTATCTGATATCTTATTTACTGTATATTTCTGATATGATCTCTCGATTATTGTATTTTCATATATGATTTCTGAAAATGGAATATTTTCATGTTTTAATGGATTAAACTACTGTTTTTATTCGACTATATACATATTATTCATGTCATTTGGGGTATTATTGGAGGAAGTATCCCAAGCCTAGTTTATGACTTGTAAGACCTTACTATTTACCGAAGGCTCCTCGGCTTTGTGCTCAGGGTAAATCCATACTGCAGGCTCCTCGACTTTTTGCTCAGGGTAAATCTATACCGTAGGCTCCTCGACTTTGTGCTCAGGTTTAATCCATACCGCATGCTCCTCGACTTTGTGCTTAGGGTATGTCCTTACTACAGACTCCTCTGCTTTGTGCATAGGATAAGAGCTTACCGCATGCTCCTCTGCTTTGTGCACAGGGTAAGCCCTTACTGGGTGTACAAGTGGGTGTATGGTTCTAGGGAACCTACACATTCTGGTGATCGGACGGGGGTAGTGTCCATGTTTTTAAAGCATGTTTGATGAACTAATTTTTACTAAGGTATTTTATTTGTATGTTTTTATACACCGTAAGGAGCACACTGAGTTTTTTAGCTCATTCTGTTAATTTTAACCTTTCAGATAATAGCAGACTTGTCATCAGGAGGATCGACTACTCCTACTTTTGTACTACTATATATCTCTATATGCCTTTGTTATACTTTGGTGACATGTGTTTTGCTACCGTATTGATATATATGTATTACCGATATTTTGTTTTGTAAATGATTCATATGTTTTCTGATATTTATATATATATGTTTATCGTATGAATCCTTATTATAGATAAATTTGATATTATAATGTTATATGGGTTTTAACGTTGTTTTAAATATGAAAAAAAAAATTAAATGTGATATGTGACCGTCTAGATTTGGACATAACGTCCAGGCCGGGTCTAGGGGTTACATGCATTCCCTTTAGCGTCTTTGTAACACCTTAAAATTCTGTCTAATTTTTTTCCTTGTCCGATGATTAGGACACTCTTTTTCAATAAGTTATTTTAGTGTTTTAGATTTTCGATAATGGAATTAAATATATTTTATAGCATAGATTAAAGAATAATTGATTTTTGATAAAAATTTATGGACTAAAATATGATAAATGAATATTTTGGTAACTGTAATGAAAAGTGAAAACTTACGTGTTCAAATGAAAACAAAAGAACAGATTAATAGGTACATGTTTAATTAGACCATGCGATGATTAGTTTAAGAGGAGAAAAGATAAAGAACTAATCTTAAGATTTCACCATTTCTAAAATAGTGAATACGCTACTTGTGTGTCTTTTAGTTATAATTTAGTCATTTTCCTCTTGATTACTAAATTGGTAATTTGGGTTTCCCTCCTTAGAAGGTTTATTCTACTTATTTAAAAGTATTTTTAGAGAAGATTGAAGAACTATTCTCTCATCATCTTTTTCCTCTCAAACCCTAAAATATCATAAATCACATTGTTTCTTTCTAAAAGATTTAGGCATTTTTCTAATATAAATTGGAAAGAAAACATATATTTGGAACATTCATCTCATGAAATTTTCATTGGTAATATAAATTTTCAATTTTTGGAAAGTTAATTTGAAATCCTAAATTGAATCTAAATTAAAGTTTATGGTGAAATTGAGAGATTATACTGAAATTGATCATTGATGATGAAATTGTCATTGATTATGTATTTCTCCACTCTTAAAGCAAGTGGATCCAGAGGAGAAATCAATAAAAAAGAAAGATTAAGATCCCTAATACTGCTTACTTTGAGTCAAAATCGAATAGCTTCGATTACTGAGGGTAGTTACTTTTGTTATAATTATTATGATTGTTATGCTTTGATTGACCGTTACTATGTACGTAATGTTATATGCATAATTATTGACTCACTTAGAGCACAAAGGGATGGCATAGTTAATAGAAATGTTGGTAAGTTACATGTTTTATTGCCTATGCTATGTATTATGATCATATTGAACTTATTGATATATGATTGTTATAGAGTTATTCCGGTAAGTAGGGTTATAATGATCAATGGCTTATGATCACCCTGTCGAATTCGGTATATAATTAGTATGTTATAGAGTCCATAACATTTGTACGAGTGTTGTAAAGCTTAATCTTGTTAGTAACGAAGGAATGTGGATGATTAATCAGGTTTATGTCCAGGTAATAGCGAAGAAATTGACCACTATTATTATGACACTATTGACAGTGACGTAAGAGATTCTTGCATCTATAATTTGAAAGGGTATCATTTGAAATTATTGATACATTCATGATTAATGCGTTCATTTTATTCATGTTTTATTCTATAAATATGACAACAACAACCAACAACGAAGTTATGAACGAGTTCATTTCGCAACTCATTTTGCAGCCTTTTTATATTAAACGAATCAAAGTGCAGTACAAGGACCACTATACCTAACATATCCAAAGAGTTTAAAAATTAAAATGTATATTGATTTAAATTAAATTTAATAAATCCAAACCATTTAATAAAACTAAATTCAAATTTAACATCCGTCATGGTATCCATTTCCGGATTACGGATTTCTTTGTAATGCAAAATAAAAAAGGGAAGGAAAGAAAGAACAAGACAACAATTCATTGGTTTACCAGAGATGGGTTGAATTTTGTACAATTCGAACACACTACCTATCAACGCTTAGCATGAAGGCATTGTAACATTGTCCCTATCAATCTGCAATAGCGCATTTTCAGTAATCATCTTCCAACTTGTACCTGCTGAAGTGATTGACCCTGAATTTCCACTCTCCTTGGATAGGATCATAAGAAAGAAACTCGGCTCCTTGGTCCTCCGCCTTCCTTTTGAGCATTTCCTTATATTTCTCGACTTTCGGACCTTCCATATACTGCTGTCCCGTCTTTTTATCGAAGCACTTTATGTTAAGAAGCGTTACCACTGCAGGCTTATTGAGACCTTGTCCAACAGGAGGTTTCTTGGTGTCATCCATGTAAACAATTACCTCACGGTTGTTGAACTGCACAAGGGATTCCAGATCCAGACGTCTCACATCTGTCTCACCCAGGAACTTGATGCTTCCGTAACCATTCCGCCCGACCACAAAGTCCTTGACATGCCGACAGTACCCTGGTTCAGCCCTTTCCTTTGCCGCCAGTTCCTGGATTCGAGGTTCTGTATAGTAATCAGACCGCTTAAGCTTCGGCATTAGAGCCTCTATGTCAGCCCCATGCTCGAACACGATAGCAGCCTCACCAGCTCTATGGCCATTGAGAGTCATGTATGAATCCTCTTTCTGAGAATAATGATCATCATGGACTCCACTAGCTTTCTGGCTACCTCTGACTGGATGAATTTGCTCCTTCACAAGGCCGTTTTCACCTGGATTTCCTAAAAAATCATATAAATAAAGAAAGATTGAACAGCAGCCTAGATGATCAGACAACTATCGAAATCTTTATCAGAAAAGAAACAAAATGCCACCATGGCAGAAAGGGAATAGAAAACAGGCCATGCAACAGGGGTGAGGGACAGAGAGATTGCAAGCCATGAAAGTTCCACATCATAAAATGCTATATAAAAGAAGCAATATAAATTAATAAAATGGCATGACAGGAACCTAAAGGTGATTACAGTTTCATGTAAAAGATACTACTTACCATCTTCATTCTCAGCATTGGAGACATCATCAGAAATTTTGCCTAAATGAAAAACATGCTCCAAATAGTCAGCATGAGTAGCAAAAAATCCTTTTAATCAGACTATTAAAAATAAATAAATAACCATGAATTCAGTCATCTTAAAACGGTTAAAGTCTATTAAAAGTCTTTGTACTATACCTAAAAGTTCATTTTAGTCCCTCTACTATAAACATGTACATTTAAGTTCTTGCGTTGAAAAGTGAATATCTTGGTCCAAATTTTTAAAGTTATTGCTATTTAGCTTAAATATTTTGGTTTAAACACCCTTAAGTCCCTATCAATTTTGAAATTGAGCAAATTGATCCCTCTTCAAAAAAGGAGAGTAATTTATTCAATGTACATTTTGAAAGTGGATAAATAAGAATGATCTATGATGGTGTTGACCTTTTCATTAGTACATGACATGTGCTCAACTCTGATTGGATTGTGTTTAAAATAATATAAAAACTGAAAAATTTAAACAACTTCATAATATTTTTTTCATAATTTTGAACATTTTATTGAAATTTTAAATATTTTTCTCTGATATTTTATCATTTTTTCAATTGAACCCTTACTTCCACTTCGAATCTAAAATTAAGAAAATTCAATGTTCACTTTTTCATCTAAACCATTTTTTATGTTTCGGTTTGTACTTATAATAATGTTATTGTAAGTGAAGACAGCGGAGTTTGGAGTCAGAATATGAAATGATTTTGCATTTAGATTTTAAAAATTTTATGTAAAAGTTCACAAAAAATGTTTCGAGAGATTAATTTGCTTGAGTTCAAAATTGAGAGGGACCTAAAGAGAGTTTAAACTAAAATATTTTAGCCAACTAACAATAACTATTGTGTTTGGGACCAAAATGGTAACTTTTCAAACATTTAGGGACTAAAATGTTCTATTTTGTAGTAGATGGACTAAAATGAACTTTTCCGCATAGTACATAGACAAATGTTCCTTTCTTTAGGTATAGTACAAAGAGACTAAGATAAATTTTCAGGTATAGTACAAAGACTTCTAATAGACTAACCTTTTGAGAACAAAATCACAGCATTTTCTCAGTTGAAAAAGAATATCGCAATGGCACAAAAAGAGACTTGTCACAATAGAAGGCATTACTATTTATTTCACTAGGTCGATTGGTATCACATGGTTAGCTAATCGCTTTGACCATAATCCGAGGTGTCCATATAGGAGTGTCTTGGAGAAAGGGACAAGAGAGAATAGAAACACGAGACACTACAAATAGGAATCAATTACATAAGGAAAAAAAGACTCTCAATACTAACTACTCAGAGACTAAATGCTACTAACATGGACTAGAGCAAAAATGGCATTTTGAGACAATAGCTGAGAAACTTATGAAGTCCTTCAGTTGTAGGTAAGCAACACATGGAAGAAATAAGCCTACAAAGAATTAAGTGCCTAAAAAAGCAATCACTTTCACCCTTGGCTATGCAAACTTTGGTTCTCTGATCCTAACTTATTCACTTGATCCCATCAATAGAATTCAGATTAACTCGAAAGAAACTTACCATTCTCATGCACATGAGTGGAAGCAACCTTCAACGGAGATGCCTTCTCGGAAGAAGTTCTTGAAGGCCAACTTTCTATGGGACGAATGACTAGAGCTCTTGGATTTTCCCTAGGAATAAAAACAGCATCAGCCTTTGGTGTGCTGGGTGTATCTTCATCATCATTGAAAAATGAAACCTGCATATATTGATTAACAAATAAAATAAACACATGCTAGAATTGTAAACTCATATGGCAATCAATTGAATAATAGTTCAAATCAGAGGATTAGAGTTACTAATTTTATGAGAGGTAGGACCCTCACCTTTGGGTTGTTACTATTAGGGTGATATTTCCTTGCCGGAAAACTAATCCGTCTTTGCGAATGGTACCGAGAAGTCAATAAGGGAGATATTCTAACAGGGGGAGGTTTGTGCACCACCTGATAGTAATCGGCAGTCAACCAATGAATACTATTATATTTTTAATTTAAAGCAAAATCATTGGTATCTTGAAGAGAGAACTAATGATCTACAACAAGTGAACAGATCAACAACTCAAACTTGAAAAAGAAGAGCGAGGTCAGAAAGTTACAGGCATGCTGGAAATTCCATACTGAACAGATGGTGCACTCCCAGCCCGACCAATAGACATTTGAGGCATTGCAGGGAGTGTTCCATAAGGGTTTATAATAGTCCCTGATTGTACTACAGCAGCACTAGGGGTAGCAGACCTGTCAAACAGGAGCATGCAGGATTAGGCTGCACAATAAATCACATTACTTGTATAAACATGGAGAAAAGTTATTTAGGAACACGTCTTCATAGACATGTGTAAATGTAAAAAAAAAAATGTACATATATATATAAATGCCAGTGAAAACAGAAGAAAAATCTCAAGGATATTACACATACGATAGGCCAATATTACTCTGACCAAAAATGCCTGATCCACCACCTATAGTGTCAGCAAAGTCATTATAGTCAGCATCATCAGAGAAAGCTCAAACTCCGATTATAATATTCAAGATAAAGATTCGCCTACCTGATTGTGTCTGATTAAAATTGCTAAAGCTGAAAGCACCACTGGTCTGAGCTGGCTGAAAAGGTAAAGCAAAAGAGGGCTGCACAAAGAGTAGGGCACACTACAAACTTGAGAAAAACATGCATGATTATCACATAAAGACTCGTGTATAGACCTAGAGAGTATTATTGCAAATTAGAACAAACCAAACCCCTAAAGTCTTAATCTCATAAAATATTTTTAATTTTTAAAGCTACCCTCATAAAAATATCTACTCCCCTTTTCAATTAATCACACACAAGGCTCAATATTGGACAAATTAGTTTTGATTCTCAATACAATAAAACGAGGCAGATAATTCTGCAACCTGCAACAGCATGATGAAATGCACAGAAAAAGACTACTTGGAAACAAACAGTATAGCTTCACTAGAAACTGAGACACCCACCCTACCGGTGGAAACAATAAAAATTTATTGAAAATATGAGAGTGAAAAATGATTGAAAATTGTGAAAAGCATGAGATAAACAGTTATTTTGGTGGTTAAAATGATATTGGTAGTTTTTAAATAAATTTATTTTTAATTAAAAACGATAAAAGACCTCAACATTCTTATGACTATATTATCTTTTATTTTATAAACTGGGTATTTGTAATTTTCTTGACTGAGTTGATGTCACTCAACTTGTGACTCGTAGCCATGGCTTTTATAATTTTGAGCGATTCAGACTCCAAAACATCCGGTATTGTATTGCCATGGTTTTTGAGCTCAGTTTACCCTGGGATTTTGTTTTCGTCCCAGAAAAAGGGACGGGAGCATATCTTGGTGGATGGTGGTTCACACAACTGTTCCGAGAGCTGTGAGAGGTTCACACAGGCGTGCCGAGATCCACAGGTGTGAAATGTGAGCACTTGGGCACATGAGTGAATCACCCTCCTCCAAGAGGCGCTTATGTGCCCTCTTCAGGAACTGGGGACAAAATCTCAAAGCTAAACCAAACGCAAACAGCCTAAGAATACAATGCTGGACGTGTTGTGGGGGGGGGGGGGTGAAATCCCTCAACAATAGTAGTATTGGTACTATAACCAAATAATATGAGCTAAGGATCATAAACATGATGAAAAAGGGCAACTACAAAGATTTCACAAGTTACAGTTGTTCCAAAGGCAGCTGAGTTGCTAGGAGCCACGGCTGGAGAGCTTGAAAAGAGATTCCCACTAAATCCAGTGGAAGGTGTGTTGAAAATGCTTGTTTGACCAAAGATAGTAGTATTCTGTCCAAAGTTAGAGGTCATCTGGCCAAAAGCATTGCCTGTCTGCCCAATTGCAGGGGAAGAACTGAACAAAGGTGATGTCTGACTGTTGCCAAAATTTAAGCCAGTGCCAAATGCTGAAGTTGTTGCAGGAGTTACACCAGCACCAAAAATGGACGGCGAAGGTGAAAATGGAGTGACAGACGAACCAAAGAGAGATGAACCAGTTCCAAATGTAGGACTGGGCGATGAACTAAATAATGAAGTTGATGAAGTTTGGCCAAAAAGGCTTGATGATGTTGATTGAAAAGGATTTGATGTAGTAGTCGAGGTTGCAAAACCTGAACTACTGAAGGATGGAGGTTTTATACTAAATGGATTGGTACTTGCGCTGGAGAAAAGATTTGAAGATGGTTGACCAAATGTTGAAGAACCAAAAGGACTTGTAGATGCAGATGACGCCCCAAACCCAATCCCTCCAGTAGACTGAGCAGCTGGCTGCGGTCCACCTGATATTTCACATTAGTACAGAAAGGTAGTGAATATCAAATAACAGAAAAGGAATTACTAACTTTGCGGGTATTACAGTATTTTACAGTGGTACCTTTATCTCCTAATTGATAATCCTCCCATCTCAGCTCCTCGTGACTTTTATCTTTGTAAACAGGCATAGCTGATATTGACTCTAACTTTGCACTTGGCTGCCCGCTCCCGCTATCTGCATCAGTTGTAGGTGTGTAAGGAGCTACTCGACTTCCCCCTCGTTGACCACCGAACGGTGACTGGCCAAGGCTAGAGCTTCCAAATGCCGGGACAGAAGATTGGGTTCCTGCATGAGAACTCAAATTTTAATTGTTTGTGTGCATGTATGCGTGTAAAAGTCAACTGGCACTAACAAAATAATTTCGAAGTTCGTAGTGGATCATGCAGATTGATTACTAACCAAACGGAGAACTCTGGGCTCCAAATGATGTTGTTCCATATGGACTACTACCGAATGCTGGTGTTGATTGACCAAAGGCTGGGCTAGACCCAAAGCTGAACGATGGAGTAGAAGATGCTCCGAAAGCAGGAGTGCTTGAACCCCCAAAAGCAGAACCTGAAGCTCCAAAAGCAGGAGTGGCGGAAGTGCCAAAAGAAGGTGAGCTTGACGCCCCAAATGTGCCTCCAGTTCCAAAGACCGGGGCATTAGACACACCAAATCCTGTTCCAGTGCTCCCAAATGCTGGACTTCCAGTTGAACCAAAGGCAGGGGTGCTCGTGGCACCAAACGCAGGAGTGCTTGTGGCACCGAATGCAGGAGTACTTGAGGCACCAAAGGCAGGGGTGCTTGTGGCACCAAAAGCCGGGGTGCTAGTGGTACCAAAGGCAGGACTGGAACCAAACGCAGACTGAGATGAACCAAAAGGTGTGGAGGAACCAAATATACCACTACCAAATGCAGGTTGAGATTGCTGATTTGTGCTTCCAAAAGGAATTGATTGAGTGGGAGTAGAACCAAAGCCAAATGCAGGCTTCGGACCAAACAGAGAAGATCCTATACAAAACAAAGTCAAAAGATACCAGTTTACCCAAAAGCTAACGATCTAAAAGTCTCATCTTCATTCAAAAAAAAAATAATGATCTAAAAGTCACTCATTACCAGAAACTAGCAGCTTAATTGTTTTTGAGTAATAACGAGAGCTCCACATTAAAGATAGTTCTCCTTCATGATCATGTTTAAGTGGTTAATGAAGAATGAAGTAATTTAAAAAAAAAAAAAAACTATTCTTCAAACTTTCAGTTTTCCAATACATCCCTTTCCAGCTACCCAGTTCTCTCCATGGAATCCCATCGCCCGCCTCAGTCCAGGCGAACTCGTGGGGTCGCTGCAACAGCCGAAGGAGGTGCAGACGCTGTGTAACCCACTAGTACCCCTTCTGGACCCGTCAACGCAATCACTCTTTCCTACTCTGGCAAGGAAAAACATGAGAGGGAGAACAAAAAGGAGAGATCAAAGCTCCGGAAAAGGAACAGGCGAGCCTACACCAGACGTATGCTGGCCGGATTGAGGCAGTTCGGTAATTTCCTTCTCTCCTAGCGTTCTAATATGAACAATGTACAAGCCGCCTTGGCCCGTGAGGCAAGTTGGACAGTTGAGGCCAATGGCACTACCTACAAGCACTCGCCTTCGTCCCTTAATCAGCAAAATTTAAGAGTATATTCAGGGAGGTCGGGTGAAAGTCCTTTATCAAACGGGCGTTTGAAAAATTGCTCTGTTAAAGCTACTTCATATTGTCAACCACCTATTGTTAGGACTGATGACAATGGAATGTCTTCTTCTCAAGGAGGGAAACAAAAGGTCGGAAAGAATTTTGTAGTACGGGCATCATCATCTTTTCCTATCGCTGATTTTGATCATGATAGAACTAAGGAGAGCACCACGAAAGGGTACTCCTATGAAAAGTTTTCTGAAGTAACGAAAAAGAGAAGAAATGGGTTTCAAAATTGCTCGAAGGATGATCATCCAAGAATCGGAAATGGTTGTTACACGATTTTTATCGATAACCTTCCAGAGACGATCCATTGGAAAAGACTTGGGTCTACTTTTGGCTCTCATGGCCAAGTTACTGATGCCTTCATTCCTAAGAAAAGAAACTCGAAAGGGGTCCGTTTTGGGTTTATTCGCTATGCAACAATTGAAGAAGCCAGGATAACAATATCAAAGATGAATGGTAATTATATATACGGTAGCAAAGTTAGAGTCTCTTTGGTTAAATATAAACCCCGACAGTCTTTCTGGAGGAAGTCCTCGACAGTTGTTCATAGTAAGTCTGCGAGGGAAGATATTTTGAGGAATAAACTCTTTGAAGTTGAGGGCGTAGTCGACGAAGATAAACTACAAGTGTTGAGCAACTGTCTTGTGGGGTGGTGCAAGAACTTTATAAAAATTGGTAATCTTGCTAGCCAAATACAAGCCAAAGGATTAGCTGGTTTCACGCTAATGAGAGCTGTTGGTAATGTAATTCTCATGGTTTTTGAAGACTCTGATTCGTTAAGAAGCATGAAGGATGATAAGTTAGAGACGCTTGCAGAATGGTTTTCCAGAGTGGAAACTTGGTCAGAGAGCCTAGCGGTGGAGTGCCGGCGCGTGTGGTTAGTTTGCGAAGGTATCCCTTTTCACGCTTGGAATTGGGATACTTTCAAAAACACTGCAACTAAGTGGGGCAAGTTAATAGCAATTGACAACAGTTGTGAGTTTCCATCGTCTTTTGATCGGGCTAAAATTCAAATACTCACAAACGCTAAAGGGAGAATTGATGAGTTGTTGGAGTTGAAGGTCGGTGATAATTTATTCAATGTCTTGGTGCATGAAGTTGATCCTTCCTTCAAACCTAATTCTTGGGTCCCTGAAGATTGCGATATTTCTTTAGATCTTGTTCCTCCTTTTGGATCGTGATTGTTCGACGGTTGTATTCAGAGGTGTTTTCTAGTTTGGGGTGGTAATTGTTGGTTTTTATTTAGCTATGTAATCTTACATCTTGAGGTGTATTTTAGAAATAGGGTTATTGTCTTAGGGACTTTTTGTTTGAAGATGTAAGATTTCTAGGTGATATGGTTTGTAACGGTGTATATTTCCCGTATGAGGGATCAGTGTTACCACATGTACTTGGTCTACTATTTAATAAAATATGAGGCACTCTTTTCTTCCTTCCTATGTTCTTCTACATACTTCTAAGTATGTGGAAGAATACGAAGGAAGTTTTTAACGAGACCTCCAACTTCTATCAAAAAAAAATGAACACTAAATTTTCCATCCCCATAAAATAAAAGTGCAACTAACTGTAACGTGGATATATATTTGCATGATAACTATTAGAATGCTATGCTTAAGGCGTCACAAAATACCAATGATCTACACATTACTCTATAGAATATAAATTCTTATAGATACACATTACTCTAAAGTCTAAACTCTAAAGTAAAGAGTATAAATGCATATAGGTAACTAAACAAACCTAACAAAAAAGATTAGTGTTGACTCTTCGTTGAGCATAACGATCGAATTCTAGAATTTACACATTATGTCAATTGCAATCGTATTATTTGATATAATTAACAGGAGGAATATGAAATTATCCAAATGAAGGATAACTAAATCATAATGATAGCCAGGGAAAACATACACACACTTACCACCAAAAGATGATGATGAACTGCCGAAAGCAGGTGTAGAAGAACTAAAAGCTGGAGATGATGAGGCACCGAAGGAAGTTGTTGAGGAGAAGGGAGAAGAAGATTGGGCTGCACCGAACACTCCAGTAGAAGTACCCCCAAATAATGAAACCCCTGTTTGGGAACCAAAAGGATTTGGACTACCAAAGGAAGGTTTAGGTGCAAAGGGATTGCTACTTGCATTGCTGGTCTGGCCAAAAACAGATTGGGATGCAAACGGGCTACTTGATGATTGCCCAAAAGCTGTTTGAAGAGTTTCTAACAATTAACTTAATGGTACAAAAAAATCATAATTAAAACAAATTTATTCTCAAAAAGGATAAGGTGTAACAGAAGAACAGAAAATTATCAGGATACAGGCACACACTTTTATTGTAATAAGTGAAGTAGCATACTAGCATTTAAAGAAAGCCGCCAAAATACAATAACAATAATAATAATAACTTAAAAAAAATACGTGTAGGTGGGTATAAAAATGGGAAGAAGAATAAGAAGATAATCTATGCATATCATGGATATATGACATATAAATGCGTTTATAAAAGTTACTCGCAGAAGCTTCTGCTTTTAAAAAGGAAAGGAATCAATTATGCATTCATCGGAATGACATCTCAAACTACAAAATCAGGATACGATTTCAACCAGAAAGAGTGGAAAGGTAAGAGAAAGTCTCACGGTTAGATGCACCAAACATCTTTTTCTATGCAGTTCTTCACTCCACAGGACCTTGATCTTAAAATAAGAACATAAAATGAAGCAGAAAACGGATTAACCAAACACGGAAACTAGAATAAGAAACGAAACAAATAAATTAAAATTAAATCCATGCGAAAATTTAAACTAATAATACGGAAATAAATTAAATGCGGAAAACTAAAATCGGATCCATTTTCTGATCAAAATAATCATTCCTTTAGTAGCGATCGAAACGTTCTAAAAATTAGTTCTACTAATTCAGTCACTTAAAACTAAATAAGAAAAACACGCAAAAAAGAAAAAGAATGAAGATATACCGAGAGAAAATGTGTTGGATGCTTTAATGAATCGCAAATAACACCTCAGATATTAAAATCAGGCGCGAACCTTTTTTTCCAAAGGATCTGAATTGGGAGATCGTGTGGGAGAATCAGATCGTAAAGGGTGGAAAGAGGAAGTGGGAGAGACCCACGAAGCCAGAATGAACCAAACGGAGAAGAAAGTAAATCGGATCAATCACAAATAGAGGGATAGCTTTCATCGAGCTATCCACGTGGCACTTTCTTTTACTCTATCTTCGGACGAGTACATTTTAGGGTAAGGGTACACTGTAACATTGACCATATTTAACTGCAATTATATCATTAAATCTATTAACGAGATGATAAGGTATTTTCAATCGTGATAATGATAAAACGGCTTCTTCACTAAAATGACGTTATTTTATTGAAGTCATTTGATGAAAAATTGTTTTCCATGAAATTTAAATCAAAGTGCTTCATGAACCAATGTTAAACATCCAACCACCAAACAAACTTAGAAACCTGTTAGATTCTTAACAAAACTAATATATATGTTAATATTAGTTTATAATTTCATCTTCTTCATCAATCCAAATCCATTATTATCTTAACTCATTGCCCAGCTTTCATTCAAAGCTTCTATCTTTGTCCTTTTTTTCATCCTCCACACACCTTATCGTCCTCAACCATGAACATATTAACCGTCTCATATTATACCAGAAACTCTGTTTTTTCTGACACTTCAGTGATGCCAACCAACTGCTCGATGAAATGTCAAGCTCAAGGTTGTTAATTTAGTTTCTAGGTTCAACACCCAACCTTCCTTGAAGGTTTTCAATTTAATACTTGATGTTCTTGTTAAGGAAGATATAAATCTGGCTAGAAAGTTTTATAGGAAGAAGATGATGTCGATTAGTGTTCAAGGAAGGGAAGAAGCGGAGGGAGAGTGTAGGAAGATGCAATTGAAGGTTGTTCCCAAGAAAAAAATATTTGAAGATAAGGACGATTTTGTGAGTTTGGACGTGGGATTTAATCTGACTATAAACTCAAAATTTTTAAGGTTTTGTTGAGGTTCAAATGAAGGAGATGAAGACTATTAGTTGTGTTTATAAAAATTAAAAATTAAAACTGTTATTTAACCTTTATAATAGTTTTGTTAAGGTTTCTAAACTTATTTGGTACAAATCTCATATAAAGCATTTTTTCTATCAATAAAACAATGTCGTTTTAGGTTTTTTTAACATCAAAACAGTTGTATCAAAACGACGTAGTTTTGGTGAAGAAATCATATCATTACCGTCACGGCACCGATATGTCATGTCACCATCTTGTTAATAGATTAACAACGGCTGCCATAATTGCAATAAAATATAAACGTCAGTGTTAAAATTGACAAAACTAAAATGTTAGTGTTATAAACGAGACAACGCTTAAAGGTTAGTGATATCTGATGTAGTTTACCCTTAGGGTAATTATGTGTTTGGTCATTCAACTATAATTTGTTTTTAAAAAATATCTAGAATTATATTGGCATAATGATAAAATTATCTCTCAATGTTTGTACAAATGATCATTTTGACCTCTATTATTTTTGAAGTATTTTAGCCCTAATATTTCAATATTTGGTCAAAAGTACTGTTGTTGGAAAGAAACAGTTAGTTGACTAATAATCAACACATATTGTTCATGTGATATTTTTTTACACGTGCTTAATGACATGACACCCAAGTGAAAATATAGTATGTGACATGTCACCCAAAATGATTATATGGCATGTGGCACATAAGTAATTAAGTACATGTGAAAATGTCACATTAGTAACATATGTTGATCATTAGTCAACCGACAGTTTTCTTCCAAACGAGTATTTTGACCAAAACTTAAAACTGTTACGAGACTAAAAAAATACTCCGAAAAAAAGAATATGAGCCAAGTAACCATTTGTGCCAACGTTTAGGTGAATTTTATCATTATGTCAATTCCATTTTGGTTTTGCTTTGGTCATCTGCTGTTAAAAAATTAATGTTGATGGTAACGATTACCATAAGGTAATGTCACGTCCTCATTGAAATTTTTTAAAAATGTCACGCCACCAATTCTATTTAATTTTTAACGGCATGTGATCAAAATAGAACCAAAATGTAACATTAGGCATGATTTTAAAAGATAATAATTAATTAACCAAAACAGAATGGTAAACTACACATTTATTGCCCCAATTTTCATTTTTGTTTTGTTTCGGTCACCCAACTATTTGTTTTTCAAAATTATACTTAATGTTTAGTTTTGGTTTTATTTTGGTTACTTGTCGAAAAAAAATTAGTGATGATGCTGACATGTCACTATAAGGTAATACCTTGAAAAAAATTAAAATAACGCAGCAACAATTTTGCTAAGTTTTTAACTGTGAGTGACTAAAATAAAATTAAAATGTAATGTTAGGTATGATTTTAAAAATAATTGGATGACCAAAGCAAAACAAAAATAATAGTTGAAGTACAAAACGTGAAGTTTATCCTAGAAATAAAAAAAAAACTCTTAGTGTGAAATAAAAATAGGGGTTAACTAGGGGTGTTCAATCAATCGGTTTGATTAACCGATCGAACTTACTTTCAAAATTTTATTAACTGGATTTTTTTTGCTTTAATCGTTAACCAAACTGAAATTTTTAAAAAAATAATTAATCAAACCGAACAAAGTTCGGTTAATCGATCAGTTAACCAAATTAATTGAATTTTTAAATAATATATATTTAATATTTTTGACTGATTTGGTGGGTTAATTCGGTTAAAATAAAAATTTAAAAACTCTCAAAGCTATTAATATATAAATAATATAAATAATATATTAAATATTTAAAAATTTTGGTTAATTATGAATTAACCAATAACGAAACTTTGAAAATATCATTAATCGTTAATCGACCGAACCTAAAATTAATAGAAAAAATTTCAGTTCAGTCAGTTTAATCATTATGTAACACCCTAAACCGATACGACACAAAATCGACCGATTAAAATGCCACACGGGACTACCAGAGTGGCTAACCCAAAAATTTTCTTTAAATACTTTAGAAATCATAAAAGTTAGACCATTCAAATAAAGGAATTCAACATAATTTAAAATAAGATTTACATCGACAACTCCCAAAATGGTATCTCAAAATAATACATCCAAGTGTTTATGTAATCACCATGTTTCACCCGACCATTTTACATATTATTATTATTTATAAATAAATAATAAAACATTATTATTAAATATGTTCATCTACAAATCAGAGCCCAAATATCACAAAGTAACCCATTAACCCCTATTACACCCAATAATCGAAATACAAAATATTAACCCTAAGCCCATTAAACCCATAAGCTTATCCCTTGGTTTCTAACCCTAACCCTAATTTTAGGGTTAGCTACCACTCATCATAAGAAGCCAAGTAGTAGCTGTAATCGTCGCCGACTATCCAGTCGCGCTGTCAAGTTCAATCGGATCAAATCTCATCAAATCTGAGACATTTAATGCCTCAATGTCATGGCTGAAGACGAAATGGAGAGAGGATTTGGGGAAGAAATGGAGTTATGACTCAATAATTTGGGAAATTTGGGAAATCAGAATTTGAGATTGAAATCGTTAGGGATTGGGAAGGAGATGATTTGGGAAAAAGGGAGAGTATTCAGTAAAAAGAATATTGGTGTTACAGAATTACCTGATGTAAATGTTGGGGAAGGGATTATGGATCACCCCAAGGGATAATTTCAGATTGATGAATCAGCTGAAGGCCAGGAGGACAACCCACCTATGGAGTCCACTGAAAATGTCGTTGGAAGGAATCCAGCCAATGAGTAATTTGTTATGCTACCAAACAAAAGCATTGACACCTGTAAACAAATAATTGGTGGTTGTTAATGCATTAGAATATATACATGCCTCTGATTTGTAACTAACAGCTTTATGATGAATTTTAAATGAAAACACTTTCTTCTGAATATTTTCTTCTTCTCTAAAACCTAAAACAATTCTATTTTTTATCCTAAGTTTGTGACAATTGGTATCCAGAGCCAGGTTATTTGATCCAAAAGTGAGATTTTTTTTACTTCTTGGAATGCCTAAAAAAGCAAAAAAAAATGGTTGAAAACAATCCGATTGATTCAACAGAAAATTTACCTGAGGATGTGCCGGAGGTGGTACCAAGGGGTGGTCAGCTCAAAGAGATAACTGGGAGGAACATTTATCCACCTTGGAAGCTCAGTACACAGAGAATAGAGGTTATCTTCAGAGGATTCTTCATATGATAACCAAAAGTGCAGAGGAAGGAGATTAGCTGACTCCAACAAACAACAAGAAATGAGCTGATCCACCTACATCAAAATCAGAAGGTAAGAAACATTTTGAAGTTACTTTGATTAATGAGCATGAAAGATATTCTTTTAAACCTGGAGAACCAAATATTTTAACATCTAAGCTTGTTGATAAGCTATATGAACCTACCCTACCAACTATTCAATCTTTGATACTGTGTAATGCTGGAGATGAATTAGGGGAGCATTTTAGTGATATTCCTACTACCACTAGGGCTTCTATTTCGTTTTCTCAATCGATGATTGAACTTTAGTTCTTTGATGGATCAAATCCTAGGAGTTGGCTGCAGAAATGTCAAAAATATTTCAAAATTTTGGCTATTCCTGAACCTCAACAAGTTGAAATAACTTCTATATATTTGACTGGGAAGGCTGAAACATGGTTTGATGGGTATCTTATGCACAAACATAAAGTCACTTGGCGTGAATTTGAGGTTAATTTGTGTCACAGGTTTGGCAGTAGCACATATATTGATATTGTGGATGAATTCAACAAATTACTTCAAAAAGGTACTGTTGAAGAATATCATGAATGTTTTGATGAACTGATACCCTTCGTCATACAACTAAATCCTCACCTTGGGGAAGAATATTTCATTTCTAGCTTCATTAGCATATTAAAGGATGAACTGAAACATAGAGTTCGAGCACATAAACCTCAGTCTCTGGCTGCCACATTTAAACATGCTAAACTTCATGAACTTACTATTGAAATTGAAAGTAAAAGGTTCAGAACTCTTGTTATGAATTTCTACAGTTCTAACCAAAAATCCATGATGAGGAATTTTCCTTCACCAAATCTGCCAAAGTCTAATACTCCTCTTGCCA